TATTATTTAGAACAATTGCAAATATAATGATTTCTTATTTTAGTCTTATTACATCACAAAATTGCAGTGATGGACCAACCCCACCAAAAAAAAAAAAAAAGTGTGTACTGATTCTGTAATGTAGAAACACACTTTTGGTGGCAGCAGTGTCTTTGGCTTTGTGTGTTTTACGGGGTGACTCACAGTTGTGATGGACAGGCAAATCGATATTTTGACTTTGGCGACTGGTTTTTCTCTTACAGGAGGAGCAACTGTAATGGAAGAAGACTGTAAATAAGTGGAAGGTTCTTGACAAATGAATCCATTAACATTTGCCTGTGTCGCCTGGCGAGCAGATTTGCTGTTTTATGGAGCAGGAAAAAAGAGCTAGTAAATCTGAGGGCGCTGTAAGGGTGAGGAGCTGAGAGCAGGCTGGGGAACACATCTCCCATGATGCAGCACTTTATCTCCCTCCCAAATGGCATCTTTATCTGCCTAAATTAAGTTTTGATTCCTTGCCACATACGGAGCTGCAAATCACTTTTAATACTGATATCAAGAGCAGCAGTAAAGTGTGCCCAAAGCGATGGAAAGCAGCTTTATTGTGTGGCACACACTGCCGACACCACCATTCACTGTGTCTCTGTGGCTCACAGTTGTAAAAAAAAAAAAAAACCCAGCCCCAAACCACTGCTTTGTGTGCAAATCATATTATGCCATTTGTCATCATTCAAATTCTTTTCTATTTTGCAGCTATGCACATGGAGTAACTTCGGCTATCTACCTGTAACTCTGTGGATGAGGAACTAGCATACCCCTAAAGGTGACTTAATTTATAGCTGTGATTAATTTCCAATTCCATTTTCGGTCAGTGATGTTTATCTTTAAAATTAGAAAGAAGCTGAGGCCTATTTGTGTGTATGTGTGTGGTGGCTGGAAGGGGGATGGGCTGGGGAGTGGGCACCACATACAAACTGCATTACGTTGCCTCTGCATTATCATCAGTCTGCTTGCATATCTCTCTGTTTGTTTGTCTGCCTATCAATCTGTCTGACTGTCTGTCGCTCCGTCTAATTGATCAACAGCCTGGCGGGAGACACAGAGGTCTTGTGAGTGCTCAGCAGGAATACAGGATGTCTGACATGTGCAGTGCTGAGAAACATATCCCGCAACAAAGGATAAAGAGTATATGTGGTAAACAAGACATCTACAGTCATGCAGCGACTGTGTGAGGCCTATTTTGATTATTTTGTCGAATAGTAGTATTCTGATGAATGCCAGTAAAAATGTTTTAAACCACAAGAGGATATGAGAAATAATTTGGCTTCTGAAGAGGACAGAGCTAATATACATTTTTGTAGATCTCCTCGTTTGCCACCACAACACAGCTTCCTATTCAAATTGATAGCCACTGATAACATATAATGCTCACTTTTTTTTTTGCACTTCCCTTTTTGGAGGAAATAAAGATGAAATATACACAGTATCCATCTTCTGAGGTACCTTCCAATTTAAGCAAATAGCTAAGTGACTCAGACAGTGAGTCATGCGTAAATAAAGCATAAAGCACGCAGATTCAAGTTCAGGGGTTCAGTTGCTCTTAAACTGAAAGCTAAAATGGACAAGATGTTTGATTCAAGCTACTTCTTGCTTGCTGAGGTTGTTCAATCCAGACACTCTACTTCCAGCATCTCAGACATGGTTGCCCTCCTGGGGTTGTCCTGCACTATAGTGTCAAGTTCCCTGCGAGACTAAAACATCCATCTAGCAGCAGTCCTGTGGGCAAAAATGCTTCTTTATTTGCTGAAAGGTGCATGTTAACAATCTGGGGGGGTATTTACGCCTCAATATTTCTGTGATATGCAGGCTTTTCACTCCTGGCACACATGCCATATCCCATCTGATAAGCTTACACAGGACAGCAGTGAGTGTCTTATGTTATATGAATGTTTTCCTCTTGTCCATAAAAACTGAACACAACTTCCCTCTTTCTCTTATTCATGCTGTGCAGAAAAAACATCTATCACTCTTTCAGACAACGGTAATTGCCAGTATTGTACCCCTCAACTGCATTGAGAGGCAGTTAATAAGAAATGCAAACACAGTCATAAACCTAGACCAAACAGCCAGAAAAGAAACAACATAGAATATACAAGAACTGTTTTTCGAAATCAAGTATTTTGATTGAGTTCTATGTGATTATGTTTTTAAATGTAATCTTGCAGTTAAATAAATTAGGATAAAATACAAGTGCCTATAATTAACCTAAGATTAGTTGAAAAGAGCACCCTTTCAAGATGATTCCACCATGTTTCTTCTTTAGAGAACAGTTCACAACAATATAAGACAGAAACAATGGAAGGCATATGATAATTTAAGCAGCATGAGACCTCAGGATGTCACTTGCTGCTTTTAGAATTGCCACCTCAGTGATTCATGAGAGACGTCTGAGGAGAATGGCAAAACTTGTTCAAGTTAACAGGCCACAAATAAATGACAGCTCAGTACAACAGCAGTGTGCAGAAGGACATTTCAGAAAGCACACATCATTTAACCTTGAATTGGATGGGCTGCAGCAGCAAAGGGCCATGCCACTTTCCACTCCAGTCAGCAAAGAACAAGAAAATGAGGCTATGTGAGCCATCACTAGAACTGGATGACTGAGGAGCGGAAAAATAAAGCAGGATCTGAGAAATCATGTTTTGTGAAGTGACACACTGGTGTTGGTGTCAGGATGTGGCCTTCATGGCCACAGTGCACTATTCAAATAGATACATGCAGCAAGATAAGATGCCATTTTACATGCACACATCGCTGCAAGATTGTTTTAGGAACAGTGACTTCAGTTTTTCTCACATAGCTTGTGCACTCTTCATATCTCGGCCAAACAGGGCACCGTTGGGATGATGTGGAATGTGTTGATAGCAGTATGAATGCATCACTATGGAGTCAGCATGGACCAAACCTCCCTGAGGAGCATTTCTGCACCTTGTTGAATCCATACTTCCATGAAATGGCAAGAGGAGCTCCTCATTACTGTGCATTATGTAGCCTATATGGTATATTTTTGGAGACCCAACCCACAGCTATCATTCCCATCCTAGTCAAGAATAAAAGCAATTTCCTGCATATCCTACCTGAAATTGAAATGCCAGCATGATGACAGCTGCCCATTGACATCGTACATTAAAAAACTGGCGATGGAGGGGAGGAGAATACCATGCTTCCTAAATTAGATTCATATTTTAAAAGTTGTCACGTTTCATTTTGCTGCAGAGATAGTGTCAAGCTCATATTTCACATTAATCACGAAGTATCGGGGGCATTGCCCAGACATCTGTCATGCATATGTAATTACTCATCCGCCTTTTATCGGAATCATTGAAATAAGTTTCCCCCTGCAAAGCAAAAGTAATGTGTGTGTCTGTGTCTCTCTCTGTGTGTCCCTGTGTCTGTTGACTAGGCTGAGATCATTATTGATCAGGTTTTGTGACATGCTATTACTACTTCTAAATAACAATTAGAGTGGCAGAAACAAGGGGCGAGTGCAGAGCCCAGTCAGATAAATTATGTCTTCCTGTTGCAGTGCCTGCTCTAAATTAATGAGGATTTATGTTCTCAAAATAAACAGAGAACAGAAAACGGAAGCACCTGTTTGCAATACACAGGGGTGGAATGTTACTCCATACTTAAGAATGATTTTGAGGTACTTGTGCCTGATTATTTCCATTTTCTTCTTTTCAGTAGGAAATAGGCCACTAGATTTATTTGGCAGCTACAGTCACTGGTTGCTTTGTTCTGTGACTACTTATAAAAAAGCAGTGTCGAATTGGGGCGCCTTGTTCATTTTCAGATGTTTTGAGTTCATAGCAGTTCCATCAAAGGGACATTTCCCCTCAAAACTTCTAAAATGTTTTCATTTTGAATACCTGTGTGTGACCCAAAGAGGTCAAATTATCCATTTTTTCATAGCTGACCCTTTTGATGGGGCCCAACCCCTATAGGTGGAGAACCACTGGGCTAAACCTAATTCTAATTAAACGTGCTACAAATCAACCCGCTACAACAGCAATGCTGCTTATGTGTTGATGCATCAGTATGTAGATGTCATTTAAATAATGTTTCAGTCACAGGGTACATTTTACTGCAGAAGTAGTACATGATTTTACATTGTGGCAGCAGAACTGTACTGAAGTACAGGATCTGAGTTTAAAGTCCCCATTCAGTCAAAAATATGTTTTTCTTTTTGTTCCTACAGCTGGATGTCTGAGCTTCACTGTGCAGAATGATGTATGTGCAGTATGACACTAGAAGGATGTTTTCACATTTATCTGCTGAAAGTGGAAAGTTTCTCTGTGCTCATTGAAAATCAGATTTTTAAGGGGCGGGGCCTACAAGCATAATTTGTGACATCAAAAACAGTCCCTCCTGTTCCAGTATTCAACTTATACAAATGCGATGTAGCCACTTGAAGCCACCAGTGCATATACACTGAAAATTGACTTTACAGTGAAATAAGAGACATCTCTTGTCCAGCAGGAAATTTTGGAAATGAACAAAATTTGCATAGTCATAGATTCTGAAATTTTAATTAGGTGGAAGGAGTAGATGCATTTTCAAGGACTTTAATGTGGAAATTGTTCTTGAAAAAAATACATCAGCCACACCTTATTGTTATTGTACATGTCTGGAGGGGGTCTTCAAAATAAATAGCCTACTGTAGACTACCTTACAACATTATTATTATTTATTTATTATTACCATAAATGGTTTAATTTTCTAAGCTTATTAAGTATAGAGAGACCAAATGAAATAACATAACAGAAGTCTTGGTAGGCTACTTTAGAGCTCTAAGTACCACCGACTTCAATGACTGGCATGTACATTGAACCCAAGGCTTCCATTAATCATGTATTTGATAGACGGCATCCATTCCTAGCCGCTGTCCGGGCCAGGTTTTGATACAGCGCCGCCACTTGCCGGAGCACTTGGATTGGCTGAAGGAGCAAGGTAGCCCGCAGAGACGGCTCCTTCAGTCCTGTCAGTGGAGCGCGAGGCGCGGCGCACGCACACACTGCTTCACACACTCCGCCTTGCACGCGTGAAAGGTGCGACAGAGAGGGGGGACTCACCGGAGGACTTTGATTTTGGTGTGGGACTAATCGGAGCATGAATTTGCCATCAAGACATCGATCCACATCTGCCGACAAACCAAGTGAACCTTCCAGGGGATAAGCAAACGGAGACCGGTTTTAATGCAACATCCTTCCTGCACGGAGGGCGATGCACCCGCCTCTTGTTCCATAAACTGTCACAGTTTTATATGACTGCAAAAAAAAAAAAAAACCCCACAGCGCTGGATATATTTTCTGCAAAGCCATTTCTTCTTTTGCGCTCGGGGTTTTGAGGGGTGAAATTTCGACTGCGGCGCACAACGAAGAGCGACAATAGTGCGCGTTTGAGTGCAATTTCTCAGAGACTCGGACTTGCCTCAGAGCGGAGTTTGACTCCTCATCATGGGGCACGGTGCACAAACTGATAGAGAAAGAATAAGAGTGCCGAGATCCTCTCCTGAGATGCTGACCGTCTCCTGGCTTTTGCTTTTTCTCCTGGTGGATATCGCAGTGGCTCAAGGTAAAGTTAAACATGTATTCTTGAGCTGTGAACTTTGCTTTACTCTCGGTAAAAGTTCTGTAACTCCTGTAGGCTACAGAAGGGCTGTTGTGGACAGGGGGAACCACCTGAACTTGCTTTAGTCACACTCTTAATAGAGAAAATATAGTTTATCCTCTTTTTTTTTTTTTGCCGTTGCGCTATCCAAGACATTTCGTTGTCTGAATCAAAAGCAGTGGGCCTAAGCAGTGAGTTAAATATGAAGACAAGAAAGGGGTGAAAAACAGCTCACTTTCATTCAAGAGACTGCATTTTGGTTATTTAAGTTGTGTAAACCACATCTGGCACTTGTAAACAGAAACAGTCGCACTATCACATCTGTTTCTCCAAAAAAAGAAACCCAAGATGTGCTGTTGTGCTCCAGCTGAGCTTCCGAGATACCATCAAAAATGAAATCGAGCCCATATTTAGGCTGCTGTTTTACATCTTTCCAAATTGGTGCTTACAGATTGTTGTGCACAAATAGATTTACAAAAATAAAAATGGAATTGCACATGAAATATATATAAAAAATGTGGATTTAGCCAGTTCTGAATCATAGCACAGGAGGTAAAATATAACAAGAAGACCATTCATTACTGTAATTATTATGAACCAAATTAGATTTAAATTCAGACTCATGCCCAGTTTCATCTGGACATCGCTCACATTGTGAAAAGATTGTGAGAGGCAGACTGTGCATTCATTTGCTTTTTCCTGAGCTGTTTGGTTCCCAGGATTAAACAATAATTTGCAAAGATGTTAATTCTTTGCAATTTTCTTTTTTTACATTTACACAGAAACTTTCATTCCAAAATAAAAAAAACTCTTTGGAAATCCTCTCATGATGATTATTTATTAGGACTGAATAATCTGTATGTTTGAAATATGGAGTGGTGGAGTTTGGAAGGCAATTTTCAGTTTAAATAGAACACCTCATATGTAATCAGTTTTAATTTTTCACTCTACTTAAATGGGCATGTTTTTATCCTCCAGTGTGTCTACAGCCTTTTTCCTTCCGAGTTAAGTCTTCTGTTGAAAGATGTTTTCTGTAAACCGTAGTAGTTGTCAGTTATGGAAAGCATTGAGATAATGCCACAACACCTGAAGCCATTTACTTAATCTGCTCTCTCCTGAGTGGGATTGTCTGTCAGACAAAGGGAGCTAGGAGGAACCCATCTGTGTGAGGCTGAATGTTCAGTATGTGTTTGTGCATGTGTGTCAGACCCCATGAAGTGTGAATGCCTCTGGAATTAAGGTAGGTGGTCTGTCTGCTTTTTCCCGAATGAACTAGGGCTGAATAACATGATGAGATTGGGGAATTAGCTGATTTTTGCTTTGCAGACAGACCTCTACAAGGAAGGACCTATACAGTAGCAGATTTTTCAGTGGTTTACCATATTTTTCCCAAAAGTTCAGGCTTTGCTGCCCATGCAAGGGCAACACAAGCTTAAATTGGAGGTCCAAGCACATATCCTAGACAGGGATGAGGGTCTGTGAGCAACCTTATCTAGCTGTTCCAGACCTTCATCTCGCTCCTACATAGTTAATGAGCAAAAGAGGGAGAGGAGGAATGAAAAACAGCACAGGTCCGGTTTCTGAAGGGCAGGGTGAGATGACATAATACCCATTCCAAAACCCCAGAGAGCCCTGTGTCATTGACTAGATGGGAATACGAACAAGGTCTTTCTCTGTCCATTAAGAAGTCGATACACCAGGAGAACATTGTTTGAGACTAATTAATGGGCACCCGCTATTTTTGGGCACCAATGAGCTCTACACATTTCCAAATCGCTGGAGAGTCACTTCTTCAGTGTAAAACTACTGGTGATTAAAGTGGCTCACTTACCAAGGCGGCCCTCGCAACACCATCCCATTCCTGCATATTTTGTTTTGCGGGAAAGGAACACATTTTCAATAGTTGTACTCAGGTACATTTCATCTGGCTATTTGCAGTTTATTTTTACTTCCTGACTTTGACTTTAAGAGGACTTGCTCTCATCCCATCTTCAGGCAGAAGTGAGCGTTGGGAAACGAGAGTGCTCATTAACCTGCTGAACTCTTGACAAAGGAGACAGGTTGAGACAGATATAAGCTGGGAGCTGCCAGAGAGGTAGCTGAGAGCTCTGTGACAGTAGCTTGATTGGAAACCCTTGGTGCAAGAACAGATGTACTTCTGGTATTTCCAGCACAGCGGCAGAGCTGTACAGTATGTGCAGTGTCCGTATCAGTGTGCATGTTGTTTTAAAGTGTGATGGAGGATGTCAAGTTGTTATGGGAATATATGGAATATTTCCTTATGATAATATGCAGAGAAAAAAAATCCCACAAGAGATGTTTCCTTTTCGGGGTAAGAAAATGTTAAAACTGTAGAGTGACCAGTGAATTAGGGAGAATGCTACATTTTATTTTATTAATTCCACATATTAAATCTGCTTCAAGGGGAAGTAGTAGAAAAGAAGTGGACATGGGTTTAAGGAGGATTTCTAAACTTCAGCAAATTGACTCATGGATTACACCTCAGAGATTCTCTTTGATATTTAAAAAACAATTCAAAAGCTTTGTTAAATGTACAATGTGAGAAATGTGTTTTCTTGATGATTTCTTTTTTTATTTTCACGGCTGAAGTATAATATACCTTAACAATGACATTTATATACTGTATCTCTGTGATAGGCGGTTAGACCCAGGGTGCTGGCCTTCCTTGGATTAGTTAAGTTTTTCCACAATGCTGCTCTTATGTCTCCACCTGCCTCTTATACTCTCACTCCATGTTCCTGTCTCTGCCACCTCTCCACTTTCTGATGATGTGTCCTCTGAGGATTGTTCTTGGAGTGAAAAGTGAAAGGATCTTTATTATATATGGTTTCTAAAATACAGTGACTCACAGTAAGACGTTGCTGTTTTTCCGCATACGACACTCTTTTAGACTGATCTGAGCGCTACTTTAAGAATGCAGGTAAAAGTGTGAATGTTATTTCTATCATTATTATTCTAACAAGCTTCCCTGTGGCCTGACAACTGGCTCCTAGGGGGCCCACTAACATTACTACCATTGCGGTCATTCTATAACCAGGGCCTGTATGCACAATGAGAACATTGTGTTTGATAGCCTTTTGCCAGCGCCCATGAGCTGGCAATATTACAGTCAAGCAATTTAATGTAATTGAAGGAAATTAAGATTCAGTAACACACTGCCCTGCACGCAGGTGAAGGAAGAGGGCAAGGTAAACAGTGTGTACAGTATGGTCTGACAGTGCTGAGAGGGGTCAGAGGTGCATGCTGGTTGCTAGCTGAGCCACAGACAGAGCGTGGTAGTGAGTGATAATTACTGTGAAAAGTGGCTGCTGAGTTTGCTTCCTTACTCCACTTGATGTCTTATACTTTTGTTACAAAGGCAAAAAATATACATGGCACTATTCTGGGGTTGGGAACATTTCTATAGTCGCCTGGTGAATGGCATATTTTGTTGTGCTGGTGCAGGTGAATACTGTTACTGTCACTGTAGCGAGGATTTTAGAAATACTGAGGTCATGAGTCCAAATGCCCCTTTAGTGCAACCCCCATCTACATTAGAAAGGTCTGACCAGCAACCAACAAGCCATTTAAATGTTCAGATTTTTACTACATCATGTAACTTTTCAATTGTCTCCCACTGTAATAGTTTCTGAGCTTTCCACACGCTGTCAGGATATAATTCTGGTGGAGACATTTTAAATCCTAGTATTATATTTGACTGATTTAATACATTTTGTGTAAAACCACTCAATTTAAACATAATTAGTATAATCACCCACAGTGTTTAATTTTGGTATAGTAACAAAATGTGAACCAACAAACAAAATTCCTGGGAACAATACAGAGAACATGACTTCAGTGTCAACAATCCTCCTGATGTTTAGGTGCCTTGCTGCCAATGCCTTTGCACCAGATATGAGTGGTTCACCCAAGCAATTTTAGTGTTTACTCTGTGTATTTATGCTCTCTGACCAGGCTGGTGGACAGATGCCTCTTCTAGTAACGTGAACCTAAAAGATTTTTTTCCTTCTTCTTTTTCTAATGAGTTTTCTGTTGGAGGTTTCCTTGGCGTTTTTATTTGTTGCTCTCATATTCGAGGCACTGTGAAGCCATTTGACACTAGAGCTTTGCAAAATAAACTTGAGTGTTGGGGAGTGTAATAATGATTTCCGATTCCTGTGTCGCCTCTATCATCACCCCTCCTTCCAGAGAGGCACACGAAAAAACAGGGAAAGAGGTGCAATGGCAAGAGTGAGAAGGGGGTGATCGCAAGGACACAAAAGAGGCAAATGGGACACACAAAGATTGGTGGAGAGGAGTGGAGAGGAGAGGAAGCTGGAGGTAGAAGTGGAGAGAGAGAGAGAGAGAGAGAGGGAAAGAGAGAGAGAGAGAAGGGTGAAAGCGAGATATAGAGCGAGGACAGGGACGGACAGGGGAGGAGAGGAGAGTGTGTCATTAATCACCCTCTGTGACACTCTCAACTACAGGGGAGCTTCACAGTGCAACATTCACTTCTATTAGCAGTCCATTAGCAGAGCTCGGCACAAGTAGCAACACTTGACAGGCAGGCCTGTGCCAGAATGGCTGACCTGTGTCTCGACACAATGTATACTGCACCACCTAGATAGTGTGTGTGTGTGTGTGTGTGTGTGTGTGTGAGGTGTGTGTGCGTAGAGTTTTTGTGAGAGTAGGGTAAGTCAAAGTGCACCACAGGGCGTAAATTACTGTGACTTATTGTGGCAAGTTTAGCTTTTTAGGCTTTGGACAGCAAATGAAAATAATTGTATAAAAGGTCCCTCTTTCAATTACGCCACTGGATGAGATAGGGTATAATGACTGTAAAGATGATGATGGTAGTGGTGGTGACCTGATTTCCCACCTGTGATATCCCCTCTGCCAGAAAATGGCTCTTCAAAGTTGAGATGGCTGATGCATTAGAGGTACAGTCATTTCTCATTCAAAGG